TCACATTTGTTTTCATTTTGCATTATTTTTTATTTCTTTCAATTAATATATCAACCCTTAATCTACAATTTTTGAATTATTAAGAACCACATTTTATGAACTGACAGTAAAATCTGGTTTCGATATGTTTATCAAGTCATGTCTATTATGAATCAGTGACTAAAGAAAAAAAAACACAAAAATTTTAAACCAAACAAAAAAAAAATGAAGGAAACAACAAAAAAACAAGGAAAACAAAAAACAAAAAAAGAATAAAACGAAACAAAWGAAAAAAAATCGTTGTTATGATTTAATTAGGCCAGGTTTTACAGTCAGTCATTGTTACCCTGTCATTTACATTAATGCTTATAATACGAGAATCTAAAAAAATAGTCTCTTCTGTTCTGTAACATTATATCTTTCTTACCATTTATCGATGGATCATTATATCTCGTTGCCTCGTAGAGTTTGTATCGTTCATTGACCATGTGCCTCAAATCCGTGAAATTTTTTTCGTTTTTCGATAGTTGTTGCACGTTTCTTGTAGAAGGATTTTGAACTACCACTTGACTTAGGAAAGTCGTATACTACAAGTTGCACGCGACAATCGTAAACCGTGTAAACTGCCTTAAGGCCGAATTAGATTACACAACTTTTGCCTACAACCCTCGCATGCAACCTGCGTAAGTAATTCTTACACCATGGCTACAACTGTCGTACAGATTTAAAACAATTGCTTAATAGCCCCACGACAGTTGTAGCCATGTTCTAATGATGACTGACGCAGGTTGCATGCGATGGTAGCAGTCAAAGGTTGTGTCGTCTAATTCGAAATAGTCTCCTTCGCGTTTCCCTGCGCCATCTAGAAAGGTAGCCGTGCCTTTACATCGAAGCGAGAGAACCGTTGAGCGTGCAATGATAGATACCTGTGAATAATTGTCCTTAGGTGTGAAAGAAGGTTTCTMTCATTGCATGCTCAACGATTGTCTTGCTTCGATGTAAAGGCACGGCTACCTTTCAAGATGGCGCAGGGAACCGTGAAAAAGATTATTTTAAGAAGACCTCTTGCAGAAATGAATGTCAATRTGATTGAATTTGATTTTTAAGGATTTGGGAAGGATGAAAAAATATTTCAATATTTTTTTTTGTTCGTTCCAATCGCGTACGTTTCCCATGATAATAGCATAGCTTCCTTTTAAGGAATAAAACTAAGAATTTTAAATAAAGAATAATTCCTTTTAAATAACAAGAACCTCCCAAATACATAATTTACAATTTACCAGAGAATATTTTTTTATGATATGAGAATAATATTGCAATGATCCTCTCGCGATAAAGCGACCGTTGATGCTACAATTACTTTTGCACAAAAGTGCATTATCGAGAGTTATATCAAGTTTGGGGACTACAAAGATATRCCCACATCAAAATATCTCTGCAACAGGAATGCGTATTCTGGGAGCGAGAACTCAAAGTATGTTTGTATGAAATTAAGGTAATTTTTGCCTAAAGCTATTGTAGCTATTGTAGTTTAGTTCAGGTCAATATATCGATGCTGGTCCCATGCAATATCCGTAACGTATCTGTACATATGTACATAACATGTGAAATACTCTTTATGGATTTTTGAAGAAAGACCAGTATCTGTCTAATAAGYCAAGACCTGCTTATTCTATTAGCCATGTGGGATTGGCTCGGGCGACAATTTAGAGCATGCGCAAAGGTGATAAATTTTCCAAAGATTCAGTAATAACCACATAAATCCAAGTGTTCAGGACTGAATCGAGGAATRATAGACCTCTGAAGCTCTTACTTCACATACCGTATATGCAATACATTGTAGGATATGTTTGGGTCAGAACATGACAGATTTCTTTTGTTTTCTCCAGAAACTGATCACACAATTCATTGCAAAYCAAGTAAGTGACGTAGAAGTTTCAGAAGTTTACTTCTTGTTTAAAGTTCCTTCSACTGTAAATTATGGGTTACCTACCAGAATGCATTGCTGTTGCAGAGTTATATATATGTACCACAGTCTTTTGATTGAATATTGTTTCGCTGATCATTAACCGCACGTGGCTAAACGGATCAAAACTTCTCACCTCCTTTTCTCCAAGATTCACAATAATTAATATTCAAACGTTGAAAGTCTTCTACCCATAATGCCTTTCGGCTTAGTCACGTGGGGATAAGACCAAACATTGTAACAAGTTTTAATCAAATGACTGGGTATAACATTTTAAGAAAAGGTCCTCCGAGCTGAACGGCCATAGATCTTTTCTGAATCTTTTCTGAAAAATCAGGGTGCATTGTGGTCTAGCTTCAGTACAAACAATGCCATATTTGGCCGCATGAACAAAACATGTTTGAACGCGAATCTAGATCACAATGCAATGCAAAATCTCAGAAAAACCCCATTGAACGACCCAAAGTTACTATATGTATTGGAATTTTGATGGATAATATTCCTTAGTTTGCATGAAAAAAATAGACAAAACAAACAAGCCTTATTGGAGATCTCTACTTTATGAAAACAGTAGTAATAGGTGCCTTTGATGTGTGAATATTTCCATCAATAATGAATACCCATAGTAACTTTCGGTCGTGCATTCACAGTTTGCTCTTACAACCTTAATTTCTAAATTGCTGTATTACATAGATACCGTATTGTTATACCAAGCGTTGATTATGCACCAGTACCGTACTGTACWAGCGACCACGAGTCTAACTCGCCATAAACATCGCTGCGAACATCGAATATGTTATAACTTTCGTCTTCCTCTCTGGTGTAGTCTCTTCGTCCTTCATCCTCGCTTTCATCAGCTTCTACTTCATCCTGGAGTTCGATTTCGTGACGGAATGGTCTCTGGTATGATTCGTCTGATTCTGGTAATTTGAAAAGGTCATCTACTGGGTCTTGTTCTGCGTCTGATCGTTCTTGAATCTTGCYCTCATCGAACGACCTGTGCGAAGTGTATCTTTTATCAGTGATTTTAGTATTGTCTCTAATGGTGAGAGTCCAGGTTCCTGCTGGGTTCTCCCCCCAAAAATGCACAGACATGAACGGCCAATTTGAGACGCCCTTGGTTGATTTATCGTGAGGTCGGATCGACAATAACTGGCTTTGTGTATTGGAAGGTGCCCCGATGTTGATGCTCAAGACACCGCGATGTCGGTGTCGGAGGTTGATAACAACTTGTATGTGCTCCAACTTRGTTATYTCGTTCTCGGTACCTGTTGAGAGAAGGTTTRATTAAGAATACCATACCAAAATGAGAGTGAATTAATGTAATTCTCAAAAGAACGCACGATAAAATGTCGTTATTACAATAGCCTTGAAAATTTACATTTGCACTTCAAATATATTAATCGTTTTCAACCCTGATTCCCATGAGATTCGATAAAAGACCGRCGACCATGTTGGATGAATGAACAATAGAAACTAATGAGAAATCCTTTGTTAGAGTTCCTCAAAAATGCCCGCTGTGACATAACTTGAAAACGAAGAATAAAAATACTTCAAAAGTACCTTTACACGCGTCTGAGGTCAAAGTTGTGGTGATTTTGCTGTCTCGTTTAAGCGGCTCCTTTCGTKTTATTTTTCCTTYGATCGTACAAACTCGCTGAGTCGGGACTGTTTTCCATTTCAACGCGGTTTCAATCAAAGCTGGAGCATAGAGAAGTCCAAAACCGAACTTGGAGCTGACTTTGAATCCTGCTGCATTGGTTTTCCAGCTGCTGTCCGTAGTGTCYAGATTGTCTATCTTGGAGGTTTTTGTGATAATGTGTTGCAAATCGCGCCATGTTAGGTTAGGGTTGGCTTGTAGTACTAGAGCAAAGATTCCAACTGCTAAGGGAGCGGCTGCCGATGTTCCACCAAAATGAGGAATGCATCCGTCTTTCCCTGTAAAAAAAGATYATTACTGAAGTCAGTAAGGTTTTTTGGTTTTCTTGGGTTGCAACCACATGACCATGATAGATGCCAAGGATGAAAAAAAAAAAACGAAAAAGCTATAACCGTCATGTTGATGAGTGAACAAGAGATCGAAAACAATAAATACAATGAATAAGCCTGAAAAATCTACCGAAAACCGGTCGACATGTGGACAACAAAACATCTCCGGAATTTTTATTATTATTGTTTTGGTATTTATTTTAATTTTTTTACTTTTTAAAGCGCTTAGAGAAAGCTATATAAGCGATATAGAAGCTTTACATATTATTATTGTTATTAAGATATAATATTATTCCTTTCATACGTACCACGAGCAGTTGTTACAAGGGGCTGAGAACCAATGGTATCATCACCACTATACACAACAGCCATTGTCGCCGCACAAACTTCATCATAGTACGTTGTCTTTCCGTGAGAACCCACCGAGCCGACAGCAATAGTGTAGATGCTAGACGCATACCCGTCGCACCCACAATTATCCTTGAAAGCTCCTCCATTACCACTCGCCCAGACGTAGATTGAACCTTTTCCTAAAGGGACAAGAAATTCAGTTCAATTTTTATTTACACATATATATACTTATTTTACAAGGAATATTGTTAATCTATTATAGATAATTATGGGGAATTACATGTTTCAGTTATAGGAAATTGTGCAGTGGCTAAAGGAGCTTAGCTTTCGAGTTAGCCACTGCCTATTGAAAGCGARCTTAGGGCTCTTTTTAAATGAATACAAACATTAGATTTAACAAAAATAATCACATGATATATATTATAAATTTCTTCAGGAATATAAATATAAATATACTGAAGAAAATAAAGAGGTTTTTTTACAAATATTTACAAATATTACAATTTTTACAATTTCATTTATGGACTGATCAACCAATTTAGTTGAAATGGTTTAAGTTTAGATGGTCATTGAAGAACTATTGCCATTTGTTTGGGATCCTTGTGGTTTTAAGTTTTGTGCTCCCTTGCTGAATATACGCCATATATGGAAAGAAACAAGATGGCCGATTGTTCCAAAATCTTTTCTCTAAAATATCTGTAAGTTTCAAACGATTTAAAAATTTTCGAACGATTTTTAATCTTAATACTTTGATCAATACTAGATTGCAGACGCATGCAATAATATCTTTATAATTTACCGTCGTAGGAAAAAAGGTTAATAAAACTGAATATCAACAACATGTCAATCTAAAGTCGTTTATTTAAAATTTTAACGTCATTTGTGCATTTGCGATCATTTGGAAAAGTCGTTTATGAATTTGCAATTAAGTTTGTTTATAAATCCAATTTAAAGCTTTAGGTTCAGCATTTAACTTCTCGCTCGAGGCAAGCACTGCTCAGGTTTCTATTTTATAATTTGCCGAGTCTTCGCTTGTGGTCGATTGTGAATCGATTCCGAAGCAATTATTTTCGGTTTACTTAGGATCATAAAAGTTTTCTTAGTAATATTTGCTCAAGGCAATCGTTTAAAGAAGCGATGAACAGGTTGAGATCAATTGCTTTTAGTTATAAGACATAGCAGGTCATTTTTTAGTTGGTCATATCAAAACGAAACTGATAAATCATATTTGTCGTAAGCTTAAATTAAACGTGTGCTATCAAGGACGACAAAGGTGCAAGGGCGGATCCTAGTGGGCCGAATAGGGTGGCTGTCACTTCCATATTTTTATGAGAGTTCAAAAAAGTATAAATAGAAAATATAATAAGAAAAAAGAAAATGACATACTTAACTGTGAATGGGACTCGATATCGAAAATGACCAAAGCGAAGTTCATCTAGAAGAAATTTTATTTCTGTGGCCTTAAATCTCAATTTTAAAATAAAGATATCAAAATAAATCTTTTTTAGTTAGCCAACTGGATTCAGCATTTAACGTGGGAGAACTGCTTCTAATGTAGCAAGGTGATGTAAGTTTGATAGCAAAGAATTATGAAAGGAAAAGTAAACAGTTGTTCCTAAAACTCCAAGTGAAAGCGCAATGTTTATTTTGTAATAAAGCCAGAATTTTAATAAAACCATTGGACTACTTTTAATAGAAACAGGGTTTCCGTGTTTCACACAATTAAACCTAATTTTTTTTTCGCCATTCTTATTAGAAACACCAACGCAGTAGCAAATAGTTTATTATCTCATATTGAAACAGGAAGAAGGGGTTGAATTTCTCATTTTTTTAAGAAAAAAGGATAGAAAGGATGAAAGAAAGAAAAGATTTTGAAAAAAGAATATATGAAAAATGGGAAATTGAGAATTATGAAGTTGATGAAAATAAGAGAAACTAAATCGATGAAAARTAGACACTCATAAAGAATTACGAAATATCTGAAAAGAATTAATAATTCGACTAAAAGGATTGTTTAGATAGAGCAATATTTCTTCTCTTGYTTTTCAACTCTTTACCAACGAGAAGAAAAATAGTCTGTTCAATTTGTCGAGAAAATAATTAATTCAAAGTCAAATTCAGCGAGTAGTGAAAGGATCGGAAGTTGTCAACTGTCAGAAACCACGCAAAATTTCTAAGACAAAAGACAAATAATATAAACGAACTGTTGACATTTTCATTTCAATTTTCTTTGAATAGTTTTCAAAAGCAAAGCGCAAAAATAAAAAAACTATTTTCGACTTCAGCGAAAGTTGCTTATATACTTCAGGCCAAAAGGAAAACAATTTTTTTTCACAATTAAAGCGCACGCAAACCCTTCCGTTCCTCCTTAGAAAACCCATTTCAAAACTCTTTCCTGAAAAAATTAAAAACAAATTATACTAATTTCTACGGTTTCCCACTTTCAGTGAATTTATCGTGCCCCAAAAAACTCATTAGARTAATAGCTAGGACGTTTAATAACAGCATGGTTGGTTATAAAACACTTGTATTGCTACAATTAAAGTTTAAATACTGCCTCGAAGCATTTTCGACGCAATTTCAGTTCTTTTTTTCAGGTAAAAATGGCCTTTCACTCAGTGCAACTTATAAAGGCGATTGCTATTTGATCAGGTGATCTGCTGTGTGGAATCAATACTGTCTAATTGTCTGGTTTTAAAATGCTTTTGTTGACTACTAGGAATAGTCATTGAATCGGTGAAATTGAATCTTTCCTTTACRAAATAGCAAGCTTCTTAAGTCAATTTATACGCCTTTTAAAACAACAGGGAAAACCACTTTGATTTCCTGAAWGATTGCTAGAGATCTTCTCAAGTTCTTCAGTTCATTTTGAATTCCCAATTCGTTTTTTACTAGTTTTTGAATCTAAAGCGCGGGCACCTTCCCAAATATAAAGATACTGTCTAATGAAATTTCATAGACACTCTAGTAGCTATTTCCTCAATCGCTTTATTAATATCTAAGTTCTTATGTAGATCTGAAATAGCTACGATGGCGCCAAGGCCGAATTAGTTAACCACAAWGACCGCAAGGATTAGGTTCTCTAACCCCAAAAACATTTTGATTACTTAGCACGRCTTAAGGTCTTACCCTTTCTTCCCTTTATTGCGCCCCGCTGTAGCGCCTTTTTCCCAAGACTTGAAGGACCAGCAAGAACTTCACCGTTGTCTCTTGGTCCCCATGAAGCGCTGTATATATCTATGTAATCCGAGTTGAATCCAAARGCTTCATTTTCTGTTATTCCAGTTACCGACCCATCTAACATACGAATCCCTCCAATTTTAACATCAGGTGCAAGGCCTACGCCGCAAAAACTGTTATTTGCCTCTGCTGCTATTTCTCCTGAACATTTTGTGCCATGATACTGGTCACTGGCGTCCCTAGGTTGTGGRTCTGAATCGTGGCCATTAATGTCACGGCTCGCGCGCAGATCGAAGTTTTTCTTAAGGTCAATGTTCGTGTGGTCTAGCCCATCATCCATTACTGTAGCGACAATTCCCTTCCCTGTATATCCCATTTTCCATGCTTTTAAAATTCCCATATCATGGCCGCGATCTACCCCAGGTACTTGACCCTCACTGTTGATGTACCATTGCTTGGGGAACATGAGATCATCGCAGAAGTGAATATTACTTTCTTTGAGCTTCTCACTCTCCGAATATTCAAGGAAATCATTCTGGCTATCGCTGTATTCTTTGTATCCTCTCTTTTCAAGAATGAGTTCTCGTTGTTGCTCGTGCCATTTTACATTTGGATGTTCTCTGAGGCTCGGACGAGGTATATCACCTCTCTTCTCGTCGCCTTCGGCATGAATTGTCTTTCTTATAAATTTGAAATGTCCGGATAAATTCGGAATTTGACCTCCATATTCATATCCATATTGCTCTGCCACATCACGAGCGAGCTTTTCGTCATCTTGGTCTAGTTCCACGGCAAATATTTCAGTTAGTTTTCCTTCATGATCTTGTCTGCCGTTGTCGTCTTCTTGCTCCAGAGATTSTACATTCCCAACCAAAACAATCGCTAATACAAACAAAAAYCGAAAGAGCCGCATTCTAGCTCTCTCAAACAACTTTTTCACTAGTCTAGAAAATGTATGACAGCCGTTCAGACTTGAATTTAAGCTGAATAGCGTCGTGTTGTGTCGTAGAGTGACTTTGATAWTAAAACTGTGCCCGCTTATATCGTGGAATATGTTGATGCTAAAAAGCGGAATTTGAATAGGGTAATTTAGCTCTCTACGTCATTTGCATCAATTACCGTGAGGTTTCGAGCAGGAACTTCAAGCTAATGGCTTTAAAAACGATAGTTTCTAGGTAATCTAAGATGGATTTTCACACGTTTTTCATATAGCAATGATTATGATTTTCCGCGAGTTTTTTAAGTTATATTTTCCGTAGCAAAAAAAATAATGCATAATTTATTCTCGAGTAATGTTTCGTTTCAGTGGGTATTCAAATGAGTTCGTTTTCAAAACAATATTCCTTTGATTTTGATGAARCAAACCCTGAATTTACATAAGAATTTTGAACAGTCGTACACTGTTTAATTCGCTGTGAATTGATYCAAACCACAATTCTTTCACAAGAGCGGAATTACTRATTTATAGACATTATTTTGAATTAGCTCTCTTGGTCATGTAATGTCGGTACTCATGTCATTTCAGTTAAGTGAAACCTTTTGAATTCCTCTTAATTTCTCTGTAAAGAAACGTGAATTTATATTACAAAATTCACAATTCAACGCTTTAATRACCTCCTGAATAAATTCAAGTTTTTCATGTGTAAATATACAAATATATACGAAGGATGACAGTTTACACAATAAATATAGAAACAGGTGAAWGCATATTGTCCATGGAAGCCCGCACAGATGGAGCTCTGAAAAACACGTCATCTTCTAAACGCCTACGATCAGTCATTGTGTCATTCACTTTTGGCATAATCGACTTTGATTGGATCTCAGCTAAGTTATGTTAGATTTTTGGCGGGAAATTTTAACAAGTTTAATTATTACAAATAAATAATTTTGTCAGAACTCTGGCGTTATATATCATCCTTGCGAAGCTAGCTGCAAATATAGTACAAAACAACAATTAGGAAAACATGTAGGATTATTATATGACATGGTTCGTGATGGTTTATTGGAGAGGTAAATTAAGTCTTGAATATGGACTYTATAACTTTAATACCCTTCGCACAACCGAGCTCACATGAGATTGAAAATTTTTAAAATGGTATCTATCGAAATTCTARAACAAAACTTGGAATCACGTCGCGGGGTTGACAGAAGCTCTTATTCCGTGTTTCATGATTTCAGCAGTGATTCTGCCGATAGGATGTACTTGAGACTGATTCAAAATATTTTGAATATTCAGTGATCTTGATTTGTTTTTTTTGGCAACTATTTTGCACTGATTCATGCTTTACAGATGAGAGTGAGTTCTTCAAACCCGTGAAACAAAACTTGACTATTGAAGTGTGATAGTCAAATATTAGGTTGCTTTCCATTTGTCAGAACTGGTTGGCCAGACCCAGAGAAAATGTCAGATTATATATCATTCCTATTTAGTCGGGAAATTCAAATTTTCAAATTATATCCATTATTCTATAGAAAACCTCGAAATGACTGAAAAATGTTGATAAAAAGCATTGCATACCTCTAAATAGAGCGGACTGGCCAGCCAGTTCTGCCTAAATGGAAAGCACCCTTAGTGTCATATCTATTTCACGGGAATTTTTATTCATTCTATTCCACTATACCCCTTRGTACGCTCTAATTGCATTGTTTTCTTTTGTGACAATTTGACATAACACTTATATAAGTCAAATTTTGTTTCACGGGGTTTGATAACCTCAATCCCGTGAGTAATGCTAAATTCCAGCAACAAAATGAAGAGTTTTATAGTTTTATAGGYTTTCACAGTTTCACAGATTATCAAAGCGCGTGAACTCTGCCATACTGTAATGTTAGCWTTGTGACTCAACTCACTAACCGTAGATAATGCCAAAATTATATATCTCCTGTATTAGAGAAGCCTTTCGGATCTCACCGCCTACGACCGTAATGTGTTTTGGTATCCGACCCACTTTCAAAAACCTCACACAAGGAYATGTGTTTTTAAAAAGAGGAAAAGCTTATTACGACTTAATGTTTTGATGTAGAAGTGAATTGTCGGTGGTTGGAGAAGGTAGGATTTGTTTTAGTGACAGCTGTTGAGTCTCACGGGGGAAAAGGAAGATAAAAAAGGGGAAAAAAGAAAAAAAGGGAAAAAGAGGTGAAAAAAAAAAAAAAAATAGAACCAAAAAGAAAGAATGAAAAAAACAAGATATGTAGACTATGAGTGAAGAACCACTAAGGGAAAGAAAATATATGAGGAAAAAAAGGAAATGAAATCCCTCTAGATAATGGGAATAAAATGCAGCTCTATTATATCTGGACGACAAATCTGAATRGATTTTTAAAGTCTTTTCTTCTGACACTAGATAAAGCTCCTTTGCATGCCAAGGGGTCTATCTCTGGTTTTCAACTACAACCACTGAGGTTACAAAAAACAATAGTCCAGTGGCCATGATAAATAATGTGGTTGATTAAGTACAAATATTAAAAAAAGATTAGTACATTTTTATGGATTAAGTGCATTCAATTTGAYGTACAGAATAGAATACACCAATCATTTGAAAAACGTCTGACCACAGACATATCAGTGTATAGGGTACATTATGTGAAATTTAATGTGATTTTGCTAGCTCTTTTCTCTAAAACAGATCACAAATCATTCAAAATACTTTAAAATGATGTTTATTAAAGAGCATAAATCTGACATAATTCATGACAAAATCAAGGGTTAATTAAARTTAATTTGAAATACCAACAACCCTATACATTCATATAATGTAGAAGCCTGTTTTATATATAAATATAATAATTATAGTATCATGTATACCTATATTTCTCTCTTTAGAAAAGGTGTTATTTTCACTAGTGAAAAAAAAATCAAGGTTTCTCCATGATATTGGAAGTAAAAAAGGTATTTTACAACAAAATTTGCTTTCATATATAATTATATATGATAAACAGCTTATTGCATGGCCGCTTGGAGATACGAATTTTATCTTCTCGTGTTGTTCGCTACTCACTCGCAAGAGATCTCAATATTTTCACTGATTATCACTCTCTGATTAAGATAAAATCCGTATCTTCGCGCGTCCATGTTTAATATCCTCTATTTATTATTACGTAAATTAATTAGTTTTCTACTATTGTCTAATTAACCTTCTCTTCTTGTGTAATTCACACCTACTATTTCACAGTTCACTGACAGTTCGCTTTCACTCTATCAGAAGTTATTTGTCGACGAATCATCAATGGCTGCCGTATAACTGTATCTGAAAGACAGTATTGAAAAGTATAAAATCTAATAATTTYATTAGTTGTGTATAYAGTCAACTCTCGTAAGYGACCACCTYGGGATCAGGAAAAAGTGGTCGCTTACGAGAGATGGTCGCTTACAAGAGAGTTTTTTTT